ATCCATGTAGGGACCTTACACTCTTTAACCATTATGCACGTTTGTCAAGCACAATGCAGACATTGAGTGGGCTAATAAATGACAGATAATTCGGAAAAAAAAAAAAAAGACACATTGGAATACATATGGCACAGAAGAATAATGAAGCAAAAATACCCATTTGTAAACTCACAGACATTGAAGATACCTTTATTCATTTCATCAACACCCCAAAGACATTTCTCTGGAACTCAGTAGGTCCATTTCAGAGAGAACAGGCAAAACAGAACAGAGACTTGCTTCTTAAACACACGAAGACTTGGAGCTCGTCTCCCACCTGTGCATCAGAGTGTGAGCCTGGATAATGGTAGGTAGGGGATGTCAACTAGGCCTTTCTTGGGAAGGGAATACATTTGGGTACATGACATGGTGGCTTGATTGTTCTGATGCAGCAGGTTGTTTTGTTTTGTTTTGTTTTTAAATATTTATTTATTTATGAGATTGAGAGAGAGAGAGAGCATATGAGCCAGGGAATGGGCAGAGGGAGATTCTCCAGCAGACTCCCCACTAAGTGAGGAGTCCCACATGTGCTCAACCCCACAACCCCAAGACCATGACCTGAGCCAAAATTAAGAGTTGGACACTCAACCGACTACGCCACCCAGGCGCCCCCGATGTAGCTGTTTTCACAGAGCTTTTCCAAAGTCGAAAGGACCTGGCAGCCCTAATCCAGTTGGAGCAGGCTGAGGCATCCTGAAAAAAACAAGCTCCCAGCGCTTTTTATAATTACCAAGTAATATATGAAGCAAATACCCTCCTGGCTCCATCCCTGACTTGCACGGCAAACTCCCACCTCTGAGGGTTCAAGGATGGGTCAAGTGTGGAGCAAGGCTTAGCAACATGGGTGAATTAGCAGTTGGAGTTAGACATACTGTGCTCATTACTTGCTAATTTAAAAAAATAGTGATTTTTTTTTCACAAATCTCTATAAAAATAATATCTGCACCAGATCAACTCTGTTCTTTGTGCCATGGGGTGGCTGGGTGATGGACAAAAATAAATAAATAAATAAATAAATAAAATTGAAAAAAGTCTTTATTTTCAAGGAAATGCATAGCAAAGAAAGGGGGAGCTCTGCTACTCCCCTACTCCCTCCGCTATGTGAGTGACACAGAGATTTTTAGAGGGCCCTAACAGTTACAAGAGAGTTCTGACTCCCTCTGTGGCACATTCCTCTTGTGAGGCAAACATGATAACCACTACACTACGGAAATGGCACATTCCTCTTGAAACAAAAGAGGGGTTTATAGCTATGGACCGATGGGTGGTAATCCAATTAAATGCGAGGGTTAAGATTTGCTTTGCTATATCGAATTGAGGGGAAATGTTCTTTTCTGACTATGCAGTATACTCAATCCCTGGACTGCTGAGAAAAGTGAGTAGACTGTTTCCATGGGAAAAAGATTTTCTTTGAATTATAATCTTTTAAACCTCAAGTTGAAATTACAAGTATTATTAAAGTCAGAGAACAGTACATAAATATTTTAGTACCAACTCAAAAAGATAGGAAAACAAGCATTCATTCTGACACTGAATGTTAGTAAAAAGGACGAATATTTAGGTTCCTATGTATAAGATCATACGATATATGGATTTATCTCATTTTTAGTTCTATCAATTATATTTTGAGAATTTTGCATCTCAAAGTGAAGCACAAAAATGAATGTATAATCATTTCAATTTGACATGGAAGCTAAAATACAACTACATTAATAAAATTCTTCATATTTCCAATGTCTTAAGTTTTCAGTTTTCATTCATATGTTTGGAAACATTTACATGCTAGGTTTCAATATTTAGCTTTTAAATTGGTGGAGAATATAGAACAAAGCAAGCAATCTCCTATCCTACTAGTCAATATATGTTTCTCTTGAATACAAATTCTTCCCCATCATCTCTGCTCCTTCCCTAGCTTAAATTCTCTTGTAGTGCCTCTTGTAGTACTATTTCTAGGCCATGCTATGGTTGCCCTGTTCCCTGTCCTCTCCCCACGTCAGCCCATCCAATACAGATGACCATGACCAAGAAATTGCAACACAGATCTGATTGTTCCACCCTCTTTTGGAAGATAAATACAAACCTAGAACCAAAAGGACCTATTGGGGGCTGGGAGAATGCAACCAGAGAAAGAGGAAGCAAAGAAGATATTCACAAGTGTGTAAGCATTTGAGAAATTATATACATCTGGTCAAAATCAGAATGATATACTGAAGATGAAAAATGCATTCAAAAGAAAATGAAGCAATCTTCTTAAACTTATAAAGATACTGAGCTCATTTCTCTGGCCCTATAGGAAGAGAATCAGCCTGGAAAATGAATGGAAGGGAATATACCTGAGTTCTATGTTGAGAAAACATCTTTGCAGAGTTTTGGACTGAGCTCCTTAGTAGGGCATGAAGCTGCTTCATGGTTTGGCCCCTTCCTTCTTCTCTGCTGCCTTAACAATTTTAACTTCACCCATATTAAACAAATTGAAGTTTCCAAGCATACTCTCCTATTTTACACATCCATGATTTTCTTCATGCCCTTTTCTCTGTCAAGAATTTCCTCACTATCTTTGCCTGACAAACTGATTCTTCAAAATCCAGCTCACGTGTCACCTGCCTTCCAAGGATTACTTTCTTGTCTCTTCCAATTCCTTCCTCTTAGTTATAACTAACCTTCTCTGCAGGCTTTCACGCACTTAAAATAAAATATTATATATATCTGTTTTCACGGCTCGGATCCCCCTCTTAGACATGATAAATGCTCGAGGACAGAATCTGTGTCTTTTTTTAACTTGGTATTTCCTTAGAGTTTCCAGCACGAAATAGATGCCCAATATATGTGCAACTTAATAGAAATTTATGAGGGAATGAGTGTTATCCATGTCTTTCCTTCCAGCTGTGGCTGTCCATTGACAAGAGTGTTTTTCTGGCTGATCATCACGGGTCTTTTCATTTTTGAGTTCAACAGCTAGTGCCAAGGGAAGATCAAGGAAAAGTGGTCTGCATCTTGATGCCAGATTTTAAAAGTCTTTCTTTACTCTAAGGAAAGAGCAGTAGGGGCAACATGGCCACTGAGTACAAAGAACAAAACCCCTTCACAAACGTAGTTGAGTTTGTTTTCATGTTCTGGAGTATAAATGTTTGGAAAATATGCAATGGTAGGACAATAAGGTGTCAAATTCTACAGGCAAAAAGCCATAGAAACAATATTCCAAAAAATGGCCCCCCCGCTTTCCCCTTTACCCGACCAACTGCACAGCTTGAGAATATATTTTAAAAATCTGATCTTGTTTTAAATCATTAAAGTATTTTCCAGTGTCTAATAGCAGCCAGGTCTCCTTATATTATTCATGACTGCAGCCCGTGACTGGTTTTTTCCACTACTTAACTGAGTGTGGCATCATTTCCATTTTGCTACTGCCTGATAGTACAGAGAAAGCTAAGCTACAAAGCTACATTCATCAAGAAATATTAATGGTGGAGGGTGGCTGTAGCTTTTTACAATGCTTAAGAGCTTAAGCTGTAATAATAAAAAGTTGGCTTTTGTTCCCTGAATTAATCAAAAGAAGAACTTGAAGGAAATGAAAGAAAAATCCAACAGGATTACAAAATTAGGGCAGAGTTAAGGAAAAATATTTTGAGTACCAGAAGAAGTCTAAGATAAATAAAAAATAGCAATACATTTGTGAAACAGCTATTTGACCCAGATCATTGCTACTGTTATGTAACTGGAGACTGCTCGAAGACTCTAACAATTCCCTCCCTGGGGAAAGGTAGGATAGACATCTTTCCCTGGATGCCCATCTGGATTCCACCAACTAGCTAGATAAAGAAGGTGGATTCCTGGCGGTTTAGACAGAAAGCACTAGAACAAAAACTTGTCCGTTGTTGGAATGATGAGACAAAGCTATAGAGGAACCTACTTCTTGACAACACCGGCCTGTGCCTGAACAAGAAGGGGACAATATCATGCCCTATTGATAACTGTAGGACAAGGCAGAGCTGTGTGGTTCAAGCTAATTAATTAGTAATATCTCCATACCCAGGAAACTCGAATTTAAAACCACTCACTATATATATTTGAGAATTTCAGTTCTGAAAGCAGTAGGTGAGGTGAGGTCTCTGTCTTGGTGTGTGACCCAGAATTCTCAGAAGGGATGTTACAGAATTCAACAAGGCTGGTCCAATATATCTGATTAACAGTGGAAAAGAAAGTTGAGGGGCATTTGCCTTGTTAGTGTGTTTGTAGAAGTCCAAATTCCGGAAAATACATAAGAATCATGACATTTATAGAATTGCCTTTGACCCACATAGTCTTATGATACCACTGTCCAAATTACAGAGGGTAAATAATTAACTTTTTACTTGTATTAAGTGTTTCTTTTATTCTGTCTCTCAGCTCAAGAATAGAGTCTTTTTCCACTGAATCTAACTACTGCGGTTTTTAAAAAAAAATATTTTTGTGGTCACAGATTTTCTTGAGACCCATTCTTCTCTCCCCGCACAAACCTGCTATGCACACACATGCATACATGCGCTCACACACACGCTCCTGTGCTCACTCAGTGCCGTGTATACCATTCCATGGCGTTCAGGGATCACATAATTTTCTCTGTGAATACCAGGTCAGAAACTCTGCTTTGTTGATTTTGTGTTGTTGTGGCTTTAGATAAAATTAAGAAGCCTTCCTCGTTCACCCTACTCCTTTGCAGCAGTCACTTAAGGAGTATCTGGTGTTCCAGGATTCATGGTAGATGACAAGGAAGGATACAAGTTTGTTGCACTTTTTTCTCTTGCTTAAGAATGTCTATATTTCCTTTCATCTCTACCCAAACGATTGGTGCTGGTAAATCATTAAACATCCTGCATAAATTACATAATGCTTTAACCAAAGCACAAGTGTTTGAATTTGCTTCTGAGCAAATTTCTTACCATACAAGTTTTAAAAGACATTGACGACCACAGCAAGGTTACCTGGCAAAAATAATTCTCTTTGGAGTTTTTCTCTGGCCTGCTGTGAAAAGCATCTTTTCTTCAGCCAGTCAGCTTCAAATTCACTGTAATGCTCATTTGGCCACGTGATACAAACCTTGTAACACAGAAAGCAAATATCATATGTATATGTATATTACATATATGTTTATCATGCTTCTATGTACTTTGGTTTACTATTGCTCTGCTTTTGAAAGTCAATGTAAGATATTCAGGGGATCCAATTAGTCCTTAGTCTTTTATTTTTTATTTTATCTTATTTTCACTTATGTGCACATAGACATAGAATACACCTTTAGAAAACAAGAAAACTGAAAGCCAAGGGGATACATCTGCGGTTTGAATTCCCTTAAATACCACACAAGAAATAAAAACTGGTCTGAAGTTCTTTTACTTGTTCTATGTCCTCTAAACCTGTTGTTTCCAAACTTTCTATGATGACTTAAAGTCAGGTATCATTGAATATCATATTCCTTCCAAGAGTATCAGAACTAGGAATGAGGATGACGAGACAGACTATCATCACCATAAGTAACAATGGCAACAGCATCCTGGGTAATGAGCACTGTAGACATAAGTCATCTAGCCTGCATACAACTCTAGAAAGAAGGTACTGCTAGCATTCACATTTTTCAAGTGAAGGACTTAAGAGTTAAGTAACAATGCTAAGGTCACACAGTTCGCAAGCAGTGAACCCTGGGAGTAAAGTCCTTGAGTCCAGATGAAGACAAGAGGGGAGAGAGACCCAGCTGTTCACACCTGCTCCTCTGATAACTATCCTAGTGAATGTTGAAGGCAGAAACACAGGCTGGTGGTGGCCGCATCCAGTTTGCAGTTTTGAGAGCTCTGTTTTCGGGAATCCTGCAACAAGGCTTGCATTTGACTCACTCATTTGACTAAAAATACATTAATCAATACATGTTTCTGAGTGCTCACCAAATGCCAGATACCATTTTGAACCTTTTTACCCATATTATCTCATTGCATCCTCATGTCGTCTGTATGAACAAGTTGCTAGTGTCCCTATTTTGCAGGTGAGTACACTGAGGCCCAGAAACGTTCTTTTAATTATAGAAATCGTCTGATTATGTCTTCAAGGCTGTTCGTGTACTGAAGGAATAATGAGCAACACTGCAATTTTTCTTCAAAATAGTAGTAATACAAATAGCAATAACAGTAACAGAAGATCCCACTTACTGAGCGTGCTGATTTTGCACCAAGCATAACACACACGTGGTGCTAGCTATAGTTATGTATACGATCAAATGAAAAACAATTCATTATTGAGGTTATCGGAGACTAGTCCCTTCACTGAACTTGGGAGAGAAAGGAGAGATCATTTAGAATGGATTACCTTTTTCCTGTCAAACGTCAAGCCTTGAATCCCGATGTTCACATCAAGAGCTTCGATGAGGAGCTTCCGCGCTTTTGCAGAATCCAGGTAGCAGTCGGGGCACTGGCAATTGTCTCGCAGCCATACAGCTGGATAGAGAGACTCCGTGCTGTCCTGCCAGAAGACCTGCATCAAATGAGCCCCGTCCAGCACGGCTGCCTTTTGGATGGCACAGTGCATGTTGCTGGTCCTTGCAGGGAAATCTCGTCAGCTACCTGCTATGACAGATCCTGGGCAAAAGGAATCTGACGCAGATCAAGCCTGCACTTGACTTCTAAGCATGTGAACAATGCAGGTGGACTCTGGCTCCTGTTCTTGGCTCAGCTGCCCAAGCTTGAGGTTTGCCTATCAGCGCTGGGACCTTTGTTCTGGTGAGAGTGTTTCATATGCTGTAAACAGAAACACAGTAATTAAAGTAAATAAGATAAACATGCTGAATCAGGATCCAGATGAAAAGAATTCTTTGTTTTTTGGGGTTTTTTCCCCAGAAATTTTAGATAATGAGTTTGGAACCAATGACACAGGCACTTTATAATTATGTTTGCATAAAAGGCTCTAAAAATTTTTTAAGGGAGAAAAATGCTCCACAGATTGAAAGTGTCACTAATGATATCTGTGCTATTTTAACACATATAATTGCACCTGTCTTTTGGGGAAAAATGTTTTTATGACACTAAATTAGTAAACTTGTTCTACTGAGGGAAATTTTAATGCTATTTATTTATTTTAAGAGGTGCTATAATTCAGTACATTGTGCTATTTCTATTCCATCATTTACTTTCTTACTTACACAATTCATTTTCTAAATGCAGTATAAAAGTTCCCAGGCTCAGCAAGGTCCCCATTCTTATCTTGCTTGATTCGTTCTCTGGGATTTTCTGTTTTAATAGAGTGTGCCTCGATAATGCACATCTAATCTAAACCTTTACAGAGTATTTTCATGAAATTTCACCTTACTTGGGAATACATACATTCTTTTTTTTTAAGAAACACACCAAATTTTGAGGGCATGAAGTATTTATAGGAAAGGAAATCAAGTGAAAAAAGAAGTACAAGGTATTACAGACTGAACACTTCAGTGTTGATTATGATTCTATTAATGACTACATGGGGGACCTTCCAAAATTCTGTCAATGTTCTAAATCTCACTTTCTTCATATATAATTTGCCAGGACTCTAAACATAGATGGAAGAAATAGAACTTAGCTGGAAAAGGTAGAATTTATATGGAAGAAATAGAACTTCTTAACTTGTTCCATGTAATGATTAGCTCATTAAGAGAAGGTGACATGTGATGATAGAAACAAGACTTCACTGTCTTGGGATGAAGGGCAGGCATGCACACATGGGCATGTACATACACACACATGCACACACACACGCGCACACACACACACACACACACACACACACACACACACAGAGTGACTGTTAACCACATTCCTTCTATGTATCGGGCACTGCAGTAGACACTGGAGGGTTCCATGACAAGAAAGACAAAACAGCTCCCAGTCTTTCTTAAACTTACAGAGAGGAAGACTTTATGTACCATTAACATAACTTTAAAAAATATACTACATTAAAATAAAACAACTTTTAGGTGATTATTTTACATATACTTCCTCAAATCATTAACTTGGATGATTTAGTCAGGTTATGAAGCCAGCCAAGACAAGAAAAGATTGCTTTCTCCAGTTAGCTCAACCACACTGAAGTTACCTAATGATAAAAGAGAAACACAATTCACAGGGCCCCATGCCAATGCTTACTCAGGAACTCTCATCCGTTTTTTTCTTAATAATTTATATAGCAACAGGGCAGCACTACTTAGAAAAATCATCAAAAATATTATTTAGTTCAAACTTGGGGGTTTACCTCATAGATTTTGAGTAAGGGGACTTCAGAAAGTTCAAACATAAGTTCCTATGTGGAATGGGTAGGATGTTTAATTTCCCTGATAGGAGAAGGGGAGGCTGGCAGGTTTTTTCTATATGTGGCTTCAGGGACAGTGATGGTTCCAGTAAATACAGTATAATCCAAGCAGATCCATAAATAACATATGATACACAAGGACAAAAAGGAGAAATGTAGTAACTCTTTAAGTCAGGGTTGACAAATATTTTCTGTAAAAGGGCAGATGGTACATATTTTTGGCTTTCCAGGCTATCTATAGTCCCTAGCACATATTCTTGTTTTATTTTTTAAAACTTTTGTAAGACTGTAAAAACTAGTCTTACCTCATAGGTTAGAAAAAGCAGGCTGTAGGCCATACTTGGCCCACAGGCAAGAATTTACCTGGCCATGGGGCACCTGGGTGGCTCAGTGGGTTAAGGCTCTGCCTTCAGCTCAGGTCATGATCTCAGGGTCCTGGGATCAAGCCCCGCATCGGGCTCTCTGCTCAGCAGGGAGCCCGCTTCCCTCTCTCTCTCTGCCTGCCTCTCTGTGTACTTGTGATCTCTCTCTCTGTCAAATAAATAAATAAAATCTCAAAAAGAATTTGCCTGTCCTTGACCGAGTTATGTAAAGCATGCTTTTATTACAGTGGTAGACAATCATACTTAAATATGGAAAATAGTTCACTTCTCCTTATACATAAGGTTAAACCTATTCGAATAATACTAAGCATCTTCTTTTTGCCTGAAATTCTGTATCAGAAAGTTCAAATTTCACCATGAAGCTCCAGAGTTCAAGAAAAAAGTAAGATAATTATTAAAGTAAACAAGGAAATAAGGCTGGAGACAAATAGCACAGAGAGTCGTCTGAGAAGCTCCTGGACACCTGCTTAGAGAGGATATCTATTTGAGGAAGTCTTAACAGGATGTGATCAATGCTTCTGAATGCATATGAATTCCTTGTTCCCATAGATAGCCATGTGGAGATGTGGATATGTTTACCAGAATGAAGCTATAACAAGTCGTCTTAGTACAAGGCTATGGTTTTTCAGTGGGTGGCAAGCTGATGAGAGACAGAAAAAGTTCTGGTTTCACAGCAAATAAATATCAACATGGATAATGGAGAGCCCACAGGCAAATAGAAGCAGGAAAAAAATACATGCATATATCCTAATTTGTTTATCTTGTTATTTATTCGTTTTGATACTTAACCTGATCTATTTATAAAGTGATGGATTATTCACTTGCTAAAATCACTTGCCAAGAATCAAAGGCAAAAATACCTCAGAATATCTACACACACAAGATAAACATATGTAGTTTTCGGCTCACTCTTTTTATATTGAGAACATAGCTACATGTTTGGGGGGCGGGCAGAGGGAGAGGGAAAGGGAGAGAATCTCAAGCAAGCTCCACCCCCAGCACAGAGCCAGATGCAGGGCTCAGTCCCACAATGCTGAGATCATGACCTGAGCCAAAATCAAGAGTCAGGACACTTAAGCTACTGAGTCACCCAGGCACCCCAACCTGGCTACATTTTAAAATACATTTGACATATTGGGCCTGGTCTGATTTCAAAACAGTGTAGAATGTATTTATTCCATTGTAATAGTCCTTCACATACAGTGAACTGAAATCATATGTCTCCTTCATTCCCTATCTTCTCTAAATCTACTCCATTTTTCAGACTATTCTTTATATGATCTCTTGATTCTATACTTTTCAGGATGCATGGTTACTTTCCAGTTTTAAATGTCTTTCAAAATGTGGGGCTTCAAATTATACAGTATAGCAGAGATATAACATTTCTAGTATAAGGAAAAGGGGAATTAGTACCTTAATGAGGAAAGAAATGTTATAACTTTTATTTATTTATTTATTTATTTTTACCTTGGGAGTTTGGAAGAATAGTGGTAACTGTTTATAGGTCTTAAGAAAGACTAACTAGCTTGGTTGTACAATAAGAATATTGGTGCTAATTATATTGATGGTAAGATTACAATACTAGTAATAATAGTAAAAGTTTACATTTACCAAATGCCTTCTCATGCCAATCATATGCTAAGGGCTTCACATACAAGCTAAGGACTTCAGATACAATAACCTATTGAATCTTCATCAAAATCCAATGAAAAATACGCTGCAATTACCTGAATAAGCAGCAGAAGAAAGAGGCTAGGGAATATCAGCATACAGATGGTAGTAGAATCCATCGTAAGTTCTCCAAGGGAGTAAGACAATTAAGAGGAAAGATTCTTTTCATTTATTTTTATCATCACAATTCCATGTATGTCAGTGTATATTTCAGACTCCACTCATTTCCTATTTGTTCATTAGTGGGTTTGAAAAGGTTTTGGTTGAAAGGATTTTTATAAAACTTGAAACTTGATACATATATAGGTAATGGATACATTGTTTTCCCCTATAATATACATTGTCTCTGTACTTAAAGATGGCACTGTGTCCATGTCCCACTTACCATTGAAGTGATCACACCTTAGAGACATCTGTACCAACCAACACTAATTATATTCCAACCTGCATCAGAAGCTTTCCATTTCTCTCTCTTTTTTTCTTTCTTTCCTTGTTCTATCTAACATGTTTGAACTGGAAAGGAAAAAGCATACTTCCAGATATAGGGGAACCTGACTCTTTCCCCCAGCCTGCTTGGCCAAATGGAGATCCTTTGGCGGATATTTCAAGAGAGGAGGTGCCGTCAGGACCAGAGCCTGATGGGAGCTGCCCGAGGCACCAGGGAGAGTGTGGAAGAACTGGAAAGACTTGGGTGTTGCTCAAGTTAAATTGTTTGGGTATCTATCAAGGAGCTTGTTGGGTCATTTCTATTCTTCACAATTCCTTTCTCAGTTTATGATAAATGTGAACAGTAAAAAAAAAAAAAAAAAGAGCAGAGAGAAATGGGAATATGATTCCCTCTTTAACTTAACCTTGTTTTACTTAAAGCTCTACTGGGACAAATGTGATGAATATTCAAAAAGAAAGAATAATCAAGAATCATCAGTATTTAAAGGCAAATTCTTTCTGAAAGTTTATAGGTTTGTACATAAGTGTGACTTGTTAAAATCCATTTTTCCATTTAGTCCAAATGATCTGTTAAAATTGAGCCCTGTTGAAGCATCATAGACTTGTACCTATCTGATAAACCACTGTGTTTCTTTGAAGAAGAGAAAAAAAGAGAAAAAGAAAAAAGTAGGTATTCCTAGGTGTGTGTGTGTGTGTGTGTGTGTGTGTGTGTGTGTGTGTGTAGAGAGAGAGAGAGGATCTCTCTATATATAATATATATTTTACCAGGGGTCCTCTTTGCTAAATTAAAGGGCACCTATAAAACAAAAATGCTAATTTATTTTAGGACTTAATTATTATTTGGCTTCTTACTCACAACTATAATTTTGTTTTTAAAATATCAGATTGGTTTGGGTAGGAGGGAGTAGATTTCCTTGTCCTGGAAAACAAATCTTGGGTTAGGGGGATTCTAATCTGATAGGATAGAGTTCTTTTAATTTAATCCCATCACTTGTGTGTGTGTGTGTGTGTGTGTGTGTGTGTGTGTGTGTGTGTTCCTTCCTAACTGACTCACTGTATTTTTCCCCTTCAGAGTTACGGAAGTTTATTTGGGACTCCTGTTTGGCACAACTAAATTGTCTGTTTTAGAGATTATCCTACTTCGGCAATGGGTGTGGTTTTGTCTTTTTAAAAATTTTATAAATTCAAGTTCTTTCAGCTGGTTTTCTCTAGCACTGTTTGGAAACTCAAGAAAGTAGTTCTGAAAGTTATTTCATGCATTGTTCTTGGAAATAAAAGAATTTAGAACGAGAACTCTCAGAGCCTGAAAGAAACAACTCATGATATCACTGGGCTGAGTGCCCTCATCAGATATGCAAGGATAATGGAAGCTCAGAGACGCTGGGTGTGATTTGTTCAAGCCAGCAATGCTGGCTAGTAGGAGAGGTTGCTCCAAACCTAGGTTTGCTAGTTCACTGTGCACATATAAAGTAAACATTTCCTAGTTCTAATAAAAGAGAGCACAAAATTTCCTCAAACACTAATTAATTGTATTAATTTGTACCATGGGTTTTGGATGGGATTCTCAAGAAATTAATGTAGAAGCTCCACAATTACTATATATAAAAATTAAATCGAATGGAAATTAATAATGTGAATCCAAGAAGCCTGATTCATCTACTGGATTACTGACCCCTAAAACAAAAGGCTATAATTTTTTACTTATTTTTTTTTTTTTGTAAGAGAAGGAAAGAATAGAGTACTCATGTTATCAAAGGTCAGTATTTGTTAATTTCCATCTCCTCTTCCTTAGGTAAGTCATCAGACCTGCCAACAGACCACAGGATTCTCTTAATGTGTCTGTCCTCCTGCTTCTAGGTGGTAGGATCAGAAAATGATCACAATGCAAGAAACATGCAGAATGCATGGGAATGTGTGTGTGTGTGTGTGTGTGTGTGTGATGTATGTATAAAATCATTTATTTAGCACTTATTATGTTCTGGCCTCTCTGCTAATGCTTTTGATTATATTAATTATTTAATCCTCCAGAAACACTGAGTTCAGTGCTGTCACTGCTATGTTACAGGTGATCTTGAGCTTGGACAGGTGAAATAACTGACTTGAAAGCAGAGGAAATAGGAACCTGACCACTACACTGAACTACATCATGGAGAATCTGTGGCTAAATAATTTCCCAGGCAATAATTTTAATTTACCAAAAATGTAATATTAAAATAGTAGCCAGATCTCAAGTTTGTTGGTTGTTAGTTGACCTCACCATCCGACCACTGGAAGAACAGGACAGGGCGTTTTCTGGACATTCCACCATAAAGGTTTAGGAAGTATTACTATTCTTTTATATATCAACCTTTAAATCATAAAACTCAACTCATTTCCATTTGGTAAGGTAAAGGTTGACCAGGCTGTATTTGAGTGTTTGTGTGTCTGAACTTTAGTATCATTTGAATATATGCACACTCTACTCATTACACCTGCTACCTAAGGGCCTTCAACTTAGAACCTGTTGTTTTTTATTTTTATAATCTTGATTTAGTAAGTGGCTGAGCTACTTAATAATTCACAAATACACTCCTGTGGACAATGAATTCTACAAAGCCGTTAGAAAAAACTCTCCATTCTCGTGAGTACGTTTAACATTCTGCCTGCTACCTTGTTTAAAGTATCAAATTTTGTGTAAACACTACCTTCATAAATTATAAAAAAGAAAACTTTTTATAAAAAGCCTCATTCTGGTAGAATTACCACATTCAGATTGAAGCTCCTATATCCAAGTATCTGTTGACTGGTGTAATGAAGCATACTGGATCTAGATTTTAAGATTTCTAAATCTTTGAACCAGGACATATATTCATTATGGGAAATCCTATGTTTTATAATAAAATCCATTCAAAATACCTGTTATGTCTCTTCTTGAGCTACATTTGGGGAATAAAACAACTGAAAACGCACACCAACATCAGTCTTACTTGACCAGTATTCTTGAGAAGCATTCTCATTAAGTCTTTGGACTTAACAGAGGGCCAAGGTATAATACGCAGTCCCCTTCTGTGGTCTGGATTGTGGCTTATTCAGTGAATGTTTCCAGTGCAGCCAGAGCCCTCCCTTTCCCACCACCAAGTCTGCTTTTGAGACAGTATCCTCTCTGTCCCCTCTGCAGGCTTTCTAGATCAGCTTAGGGACTGTAAAGTAACTTGACTACTAGACTGAGCCAAACATGATTGGGAAAAGAAAGCCGCCAAGAAGCAATCAGATCCACTGCATTCCAAAATCAAGCTTACTCCAAATGCGTGATGGGCCATCCCCTTCGCAGCCCACATGGCTGTGCGACTCATGTGCCTGGATTTCCAATTAGATGCTCCCCCCCCACCCCCAATCCACAGACCTGAAGCTCTTCCAACAAGGCAAAGTGGAGCTCAGTCCTCCCTGTTCCCAGATGTGCTTCAGGCACCAAACCATGCAAAACTTACCAAGGACAGCAGCTTTGATCCTCACGTCCTTTGGGGAGGGATCCTTCTGGTAACCAGCACACCCCAGTTGATCTGCCCGCAGTTTCCCTACATCTGACATGTGATGTAGCACTATTACTTGGGAGCCTTTCTTTCTGCTCCTGGCAGCTCCACGGAAGCCCTGCCCCCAGACACAGCTGAGGTTTGCAAATGAAGAAGGATGTCCCAATCTGAAGGTGTAGCAACTCCTGAAGGGAGCTTGGAGGTAGAAAGAGAGAGAGAGAGAGAGAGAGGTGGTGGGGCGAGAGAGAGAGAGGGAAGAAAGGAAGGACAGCAGGAAGGAAGGTAGAGGAAGGGAAAGGAAAAAGAAAGAGTTTTATGGCCTAGAGGAGAAGCAGTTAGAAAGAGAAAACATTTGATTTCCAATTAGTGCCTGAAGCCACAAAACCCCAGGACTCCGTGCAAAGCACTGCCTTAGTTCAAAGTCTTTCCTGGTAGAAGGTAGAGCAGTTCTCACCTGTTTGTTCTCCTGACCCCGAGCCAGCAGCAGCAGTGGAAGCCAGTGAAGGAGACTCCTGTCTGATTGGTTCACAGTGACAGTCCTTTCAAGGTCAAGCTCCCTTGGAGAAAAGACACTGAGATGCACAGTTAACAGGGAGAACCCACCAGCTCCCACCTCAGCAGAGGTGAGGTGGTATTTGCTTGCCCATAGAATATTCCATTTGAGCCTCTCTGAAGGATGCTGGACTACTTCTGGGACTGGGAGGAAGGTTGGGATGAGTCCCCTTAAGCCCGATGCCCTCCTTTCAGGGCAGCAACAGCTGAAATGAACAGTAGCTGCCTGAGAACACGGGGTTTTTCTGAAGGCACCCGATTGCCCAGTGACTTGACTCACAATTACACAGGCCTGAAGACAACAAAAGGGAAAGGCGGAGGTGGGCGGTGGGCCAGGGACCCAAAGCCTGGCTGCCAGACATGCAGATGGAGAGTGCCCAGTGCAGAGGAGGGCTGGAAGACAAGTCTCAAGTCGTAGTTCCTATCAGAGTGGGAGATTCCACTAAAAGGAAATCTGCAGGTGGCAACTGAGGTCCAGGAGAGAGCCACAGGAGCCCTCTGCCCTCCTCCCACAAAACCACCCTACCCACAAGACACTGAAGCCGTCTCAGCCAGCAACTTGTTGCTTCTTGCCTGAAGGACTCTCACAGCTGCGAGACAGGCAGGAACAAAAGAGCTAACCCAGGAGAGAGAAAATGCAGCCCAACTCTCCCATAGCTTCTGCTGTGGGTTCCTGCCCAGGACAACTGCCCCTCCCAGAACTGCAGGGTCCCCTCCCTCCAGGATGCCCTGTCGGTTCCTTTCCCTGGAAAAGTTAAACCATGTCTCTTCATCTGTGTGGTTCCCTCCTCCATCTTCCTTCTTCCTTTCCCCAAGTCCCTAGGTCAAATTACTGACACCCAGCGTCCAGTGAAAATAATAGCAGTTTTTTGTTTGTTTGTTTGTTTGTTTTTTTCCCCAAGGGTGGGAGGAGGGTATGTGCAAGTGAGGTGCCCCCATACATGTTGCCAACGTTTTAAAACCCACGGTAACTGAGGCTATAGGTGTGCCAGAAGCAGTGGGGTTAATTATGTTCTAAACATTCAGATGACATCATAGAAACACATTGCACTAATTTTTCTTTCACACTTTGTGCTTTCGTAACCATCACTGGAATAAATTAGGTAAACTCAGCTCCAGCTTTAAGAAAGTTGTTGAAAAAATGTATTGCACGTACATAGCTTCTAATAGAAGAGTAAAACCAAACAAAACAACACACACACGTGTCAACAGTTCTAGTTTTAAATCCTGCACCTAAAGAATGAATTCCCGCACTGAAAACGAACAACGAACAAACAAATCGTACTCTTGACTGCGAGAAGCCTCTTTAAGATTAACAAATAAATAAATAAATGAGCATTTCTCGAGGGCTCTCTCCTATCTGTGCCCCTCCTTCAGAGTCTTCAGCTTGCTTTCACATATGGCTGTTTAGGGTTCTATCTGGAAAGTAGCAAACCATATCACGAGTCCAGATTTTAGATGGAGGAAACGAGACCACAGAGGTTCATGAACCACAAATGGTGACCAAATGTGCAGGAGGTAGCATTGGTTCCAGAACCAGAACTGTTGACACTTTGCCCATCTGTTTCTTTCCTTCTTTCTTTTTTCATATTTAAGAAGATTATTCTTTTTTTAAAAATTTTTAATTTTTTATTAACATATAATGTATTATTAGCCCCAGGGGTACAGGTCTGTGAATCGTCAGGCTTACACACTTCACAGCACTCACCATAGCACATACCCTCCCCAGTGTCCATAACCCCACCCCCCTCTCTCTACCCCCCCTCCCCCCGGCAATCCTCAGTTTGTTTTGTGAGATTGAGAGTCTAAGATTATTCTTAAAATTAAGTGCATGTCGAGTGCAGTGAGTTGAACTTAAGTACAGCCAGTGTGTTACACAGGAGAAACATGGAAATATATGATGAGCGTGCACCAACAAAAGCGGCTCTGGATTTCTTGAAAGCCTTCTTCGGTATTGCCCCTGCAGAAAGACTGGATGGGACTGAGCACGATCCCACTCAGAGATCTGAAGGTGGGTGCTGTTTCCGGGGGAGAAAGCCTGGTGACTTCAGCGGCGGCAGACGTACATGGTGTTATATTTAACATATGGTGATGCTCAGGGAGTTGTCCTGGGCTTAAGAAGCTACTACAGATGGCAGGACTCATTAGCGTCAATGAAATCTAGGATCTATGGAAAAATTCTGCAGCTTACACAATTTCCTATTTGGAAGAATGAAAAACAGCAGGATTTATGAAAAATATTTACAGTATAAGCAGTTGATATATAGCATCATTCTTTTTGTTTAAATTTTAGTCATTTTCAAAAGGTTTACAAAGCTCAAAAAGTGTTTTAATGATATGAAAAAGACTGGGGCGCCTGGGTGGTTCAGTCAGTTAAGCGTTTGTCTGCAGCTCAGGTTATGATCCCAAGGTCCTAGAATCAAGCCCGGCATTGGGTTCCCTGCTCAGTGGGGAGTCTGCTTCTGTTTCTCCCTTTCCTTCTGTCCCTGCCCCCTGCCCCTGCTCCTGTTGTCTCTCTTTCTGGCTCTGCACTCTCTCACCAATAAATAAATAAGATCTTTTTAAAAAAAAAAGACTGTAATGATTTATAATTTTATATAAAGAAGGAAACCAAGGCCCATAATCCGATTGTCCTCACATTATTGAGAAAAATATAGAAAAATTAAATGAAAATTAAGTCTGTCTTCTCCTTCTTTTGGATTCCTTTTCCCAAATATAATTAGTGGTTTTTTGTTTGTTTGTTTGTTTGTATTTGGCCTATACTGAGGTGTTTACTATAAAAAAGGGAAACTGAGCAGTGTGCTATTAAACAATGAATAACTAGTTCTTGGTGCCCACATGGTCCTAATCCTTAGATAAATAACAAAAGTGTTTTTACCACCCATGCTGACAGGTCCCATGAGTAAAGAGCAAGCCCAGTCTGGAATTTACAAAAGGATTCACCCAGGTAGGTTATAAGAACATTTGCCTTGAGTGGGAAGCTATCCCAAGTCTGTCCCATAACAAATACTGTGATGCTAAATAAATATTAGGAATCATTTTGCTAACTAAAATCAATAGCTAGAAGATGGTGGAGGGGTAGGAGTCTTGAGTTTCTTTTGGTCCCAGGAATTCAGCTAGATAGCTATCAAGTCCTTCTGAACACCTGGGAACTCGACCAGAGATTGAAGAAAAGAATAAGTGCAACTCCACAAATAGAAAAACTACCACTTTCTGCAAGGTAGGAGGTGGGAGAAGTGAATCCAAGGTGACATATGGGAACACAAACTGTGAGGGGAGGGAGCCTCCACAAGCCGGTTACTGGAAAGTGATAGAGCAGCGGAGCACAAAATCAGAGCTTTTAGTTAGAAGTCTGCTCTGGTGAGGGACACCCCTGCCTGAAAGGTGTTCAGGTGGCAAAGCGGGGGCGGAATCATGGGTGGGACAGTGTGGTCTCAGGATCCTTTGGGTCACAGGCAGACTGGGGGTGGCTGTGTACAGCAGAGCTTCCAGGCATTGGAGTGGGGGGCTGGCGGCAGAGTGAGCCCAGGAGTGGGCTCTCAGCTCACTCCTCAAACCACGGCAGAGTTGGGTGACTGCTCTCTCAGCAGGGGCCCAACAAACACTGAACCAGTGAGACCCCTTCTTCTTCCCCAGGAGGAGTGGTGCAGGAGCACACCACAGGAGCGTGCATGGTTTGGAGACTTGAAATGAGGTCTTGTGCATGAGATAGAAATAATTGGTCACAGGCTGGGTGAGCACAGAGTGCAGCCAGAGGCCACGGAGACAGGAGTGATTGCTTTTCTCTGAGGGTGCACTGAGGAGTGGGGCCATGAGCTTTCGGCTCTGGGGCCAGAAATTGGGTGGCTGCCATCTTCATTCTCATCCTCTAAAGCTATGCAGAAAGCATTCAGGGAGCAAACCTGAGCAGATTACTGAGCCTGGCCCCCTGGCAAGGTGGTGCAATTCTACCTTGTGCAAAAACACCTGTGAATCAAAGCAACAGGCCCCTCCCCCAGAAGATCAGCAAGAACATCCAGACAAGACCACATTTACCAATCAGTGAGAATTGCAGAACTCCAGTGCCAGGGGAATACAGCACATAGAATTCATGGCTTTTCCCCCCATGATTCTTTAGTCTTTCATTTAGTCTTTTTAAAGGTTTTTTTCTCTTTCCTTTTTCAATGAACTTTTTATTTTATCAACTCTTTTAAAAAACATTTTTAATATTCATTTTTTTCATTTACATTCTATCCCTTCATTATATTTAATTTTTTTTGTGTGTGTGTATATATATGTGTGTGTATATATGTGTGTGTGTATATATGTATATATACATATGTATACATATATATACATGTATACATATATATGTATATTTTTTTTCTTTCTTTACAACTTTGGGTGCAGTTTCTTCTAATAGACCAAAATACACCCAGAATCTAGTGTATGGCTCTGTTCTATTCACCTGTCTGATCATATTCTCTTTTTTTCTTCCTTTTTTAAAATTTTATTTTTGTTTATTTTTGTTTTTTTGTTTGTTTTTTTTGTTTTGTTTTGTTCTTTTAAACTCTTTTAATTTTCATCATTACATTCTATCTTTCCAATGTATTT